CAACCTTGCAGATGCCGTGTATTCTTTGAGAAGGGATACCAGCATCCTAAGGCTGGTATTCTGATTAATGCCAGCTCCAGGGTTTGGGGATTTTTCAGTAAAAAATGCCACCAGTGACCCCCTTATTCCAGTGGCCCTGCTACCTCTAGGCCACTGTCTCTACCTGCTCTCTGTGATGGCCTGGGACTCAGGCTCGGACTCAGAACCAGAGGAGTCTCAGTCTGCACTGGATCCTTTGCCTCAGGCGGCATCAGAACCAAGTCTGGGGCCTGATTCTGAAGAGCCCCTGTCTGCACAGGTTCCCCTGCAACAAGCACCAGCTGGGCTGAGTCAGGGGCCTGAGCCTGCCCTGGCTCCAGATGCAGGGATTACCTCATTGCCTTCAGCTGGGCAATCACTTACAGCTGCTCCACTACCAGTTGGGTCAGGAGAGGCTGAGGCGGCCTCTGGGTCTAGTAACCCACCGACATCTCCTGAGCTGCAGAGACTAAGGTCTGAGAGGAGAGACCTGAGAACTCACAGGAGGAGTGCTTGTCTTCGGGCGAAACAGGGAGGTGAGTCACCAGGGGATCAGGACCGGCCGTTACCCCGACAAAGATAAAAGGCTGTCGGACTCTGCCCCAGGTTGTGGGAGCGATGTTGCTGTTTGCTAGAACCTGCCTAAAACCCTGTGCCTGACCCTGCCTGGTTTCCTGCCTCGTATCCTGCCTTGGCCCTGTTGGGCTGACTCCTCCCAGAACCCTTGGATTTGGGACCGGACCTGGACTGCGTTGCTCAGGTTACCCCCGGGCCCAGCACACTCTCTTCTCCTGGGCCCAATCCACACATACTCAACCCAGCTGACAGCACTGTATGCCAAAAGCACATGAATGTCTAAAAAATGCTCCACCTGTGCTAAAAACCATCACCCCGAAACTCAGGATGGATAAGTCTGTTCTAGTCCGTAACAATTTCTCTCATAAGTCATAGAATCATAGAGTTGGAAGGGACCCTGAGCGTCATCTGGTCCAGCCCCCACAATCCAGGAATTGTCCTGTCTTGTTTCCACAGCAGGAGTGGTCAGCGTGGTGGAACATGCCTTAGAGATTCCACTCCAGATATGGGTAGGGCTTAATCCTTAGCCTGTTCTTCTTCCGAAGATATCCTGCAAGGCAGAGGAGGTTTAGGATAAGAGTTTTCCTTCTCCTAGAAGGGCTACCTTCCCAGGTTGTCGAGCCCCATCTGCCCCTCACTTCCCTCTACAGCATTTGCATGAACCACCTTCTTGACTATTGGACACCTATTGGTCTAATTCACTTAATCCATTGGAGTCTGTCTCTGCTTTCAGGGTTTACTGAGCCCCGATCAGTTCCTCATTTTTCCAATCTCAAATTCAGTTCTCCACATTTCTGTAGCAAATTTGTAATTATTTATTTTTTTAAAAAAAGGTCCTCATGGAAATTCGGCATTTTAGTCACATTTCTCCTAATAAACGCATGCATGTATGAGGTTTTAACTAATATCAACATTTCCCCCCAAAAAACAATGTTTCCTAAGAACAAGGGGTTTTGTATGTTATTTTCACTAGCGTGGTCATTATTATATACACTTTCAGCTATTATATATATATTTGTAAATACGGTCTGCTTGGAGAGCTGCGGCACAAAGATTCAGAAAAGCGAGAATTTTGAATGGTGGCTGAGTTTCATCTCTCATATTATTTCAGAAAATGCAAGTTTGACAGATTCGCCTTAACATAAGAAGTGAATCAAATTTCTTCCCCAAACCCTACTTCTGAGTAATTCTGCATAGGAATGATCCAGTAGCCACACTATTCCTGCCTGGATCGATACAATTCCTTTGGACAATTTATTCTGATAGCATGGCTTTCCTTGGTGGCTTGTTTCTGTACAAAATCCCAAACCAAGTAGCACCCTTCCTTCTATAGCCTTGTTATATATACGGGAGAAATGATGTAATTATCTTCTACCCAAATCCGAAGACTGCAGGAAAATGCCATGTGGGAGCCAACATAAAAAAAAAAAAAAGTCCACTCCATTTATAATTCTATTAACGGCAACAAGGAAAAATGTGTCTTTCTTTGAATACTTGCCAAGGCATCAGATGGAAATTAAAAGTCAAACATCTATAAATAAGGGAAGATTTCATCCCTCCTACATTCTCCCCACCGTACTGTCAGTTAAGGATAAGTTTATTGAAGATGTGGTAATTTTTCTTTGGCAAAAACTACATTATTCTCTCTCTCTCTCTCTCTTTCTCTCTCCATGTGTGTGTTTGTGAACACACACCCACCCACCCACCCACCCACACACATACACACGTGTGGACACAAATACGTATATGTGCTTTTCACAAGTGAAATTGAAATATTGCATTAGCAACCGCCTAATTTCATTCTCGCCTTGGAAATTTAGGGACTTCTGCTTGCATATTGACTGAATTGCCTATTAATATAAATGAGTGTTACACACCAGGGACCAGAAACACTTGCAATGCCTACTGATTCGTTCCTCATGACTTATTAATTGCACCAGATGCTGAAGGAGTACAGTTAAGGGGCTGGCCGGCACAGCCGAAGGGGCAAGCAGCAGAATGCGGTGCCAGGAACCCAGTTCGGATCTTACCAAGTCTGATAGCAAACAAGTGACTCCACCATCTGTTAATAGTCTACTTGAAATGGCTAGGCAGTCCCACTTCGGGGAGTGTAGAAGCTCCACAGAAACACCTGGCAAAACTGGGGTGTTTTGCAAGCCAAACAACTGCTACTTCAAGGAACATTCAAGCTTTTCTAGCAAAACAAAGTGGAAGTTGAGAAGTAGCACTCCCTGCTCCCAACTGATCATGCAACCTTAGGCCAGCTCATCATAGCCATTTGAGCCAATTTACACATATTTGTTTGGAGTACACCTTAGATGTACAGGGAGGGACGTGGATGGCACTGTGGGTTAAACCACAGAGCCTAGGACTTGCTGATCAGAAGGTTGGCGGTTCGAATCCCCGATGGGGAGAGCTCCTGTTGCTCGGTCCCTGCTCCTGCCAACCTAGCAGTTCGAAAGCATGTCAGAGTGCAAGTAGATAAATAGGTACCGCTCTGGCGGGAAGGTAAACGGCATTTCCGTGCGCTGCTCTGGTTCGCCAGAAGCGGCTTAGTCATGCTGGCCACATGATCCGGAAGCTGTATGCCGGCTCCCTCGGCCAATAAAGCGAGATGAGCGTCGCAACCCCAGAGTCAGTCACGACTGGACCTAATGGTCAGGGGTCCCTTTACCTTTACCGTTAAGATGTACAGGAAGACAGGAGTGCCTGGCCTGCTCTGGTCCATGGGGTCACAAAGAGTCGGACACGACTAAACGACTAAACAACAACAACAACACCTAAGATGTTGTGTGTGTGTGTGTGTGTTTAAAATTGTGTCTAGCAGCCTACAAAAGTAGGTCTGGTTCACCCAGACGGTCGCTAAGATAGTTGCCAAAGTTTTAGGGCACTCATTCTTTACATTCATATGTTCAAAGATAAGACTTTGAAGCTGACTTTACTCACTTGCTCGGGAGTAAGCTCCATCAAACTCAGTAGGGCATGCTCCAAAATATATAATTGTTAGTTTTGTCAGTTTTCCAACCTTAAGTTTAGTTCTCCCACATTAACCCGCTAGAGCTTCAGCTCCCCATCCCCATTTCTAATAAGCTCACTTTTCACCTTCTAATCCTGATTTCCGAAGCCGCTTTTATATTCTGCAGCCCCACTTTGCACTCATTTGCACTCAAATCTCTGCTGCTATTTAAAACCATTGTTTCCCCCTCTGTGTCACTCTACTCATGCTTTACTCAAACCCTTGTCATTGTTTAAAGCAGCCCCTTTGTCTCCTTAAGTGTCTCTTCCTAGTCTGTGCATTTTTTTACACCTTCCTTGACTGACGAACTGCATTGCAAAATTCAGAGAAGTGCTGATTTTGAATGGTTTTCAGAAAGTCAGAATTGGGTAGATTCACCTTTAAATGGAACCTGGATTGAATTTATCACCATCCCTATTAACTTCCAAGTAGACACGTATAAGAGTGTGGTACATACATTCCAGCACATACATAAACCAAAGCAAAGACTATCTGTTAAACACAAACACGACAACTTTCAGACAAAGTCCAAGAGAGATAGGGAATATAGAGCAGAGAACCCACAACCGGCCCATTTGAGATCTGTGTTCTTAGTAAGCTGTGAATGGAGCGTTTGCAGGGCATACAATGGAAAGGATGAGGGGAGGAGGAAGTAGGCAGTATCTTTGTAGCTTTGATCAAAGCAGCTGAAGAAATGAAATGACTTTGCTAAAGAAACCCTGAACAGAGCAAGAGTGCTCAAAATGTGTGACTTGCTTTGATGGGTCAAGAGAAACAGATACTTATAGTGCTGGAAACACACACACACACACACACACACACTGTTTTTCCTTCAGACTTGTGCTAACAACAACAACAACAATAGCAACAACAATAACAACAACTCCTCATCAAGAACACAATGTCCACCATTCAGAAGGATGACAAGAGCCAATATTATCCCTACACACACAGACACAGGCACTTGCTTCGCCAGCTCCATTAGTTGTCAGGACAAGCCGCTGAATTCTTTTAATTGCTGTCAGGTAGGATTATATCACCTACCCTAAATAAGCACTCTGGTAGAGCCCTGCTCAGCCATTCACAATTCATTTGATTTGCAGAGCAATAACTGAGGAAACAGAGCCTTTAAATTCACGACGCTAAAGTTTCCTCATCAGCATCGCGAATAAATTCCCCACTGAAAATTCATGGGCTGGGAAATCAGGGATGCTGAATGGCCAAATCAGCATTCTAGAGACATTGAAGAAGGTCTGAAAGATGTGGAAGTTTTTTCCTAAGAACGACACCAAGCAGTTGTTGTTGCCTTTTACCAAAGAAGGGGGCAGATTGGAGCATAAACTTCTGGTCATGGTTTTTGAACTTTTGAAAGAATCTTATCCCTCTTTAAAGAAGTTCAGTGGTCCAGCATTTGCTTTGGATGCAGAAGATTCCAGGTTCAATCCCTGGTATCTCTAGGTAGGGCTGGAAGAGAGCTCTGCCTAAGACCTTATTATGCAAGTCAGCATAATAATCCTGAGTGAGATGGACCAATGGTCTGGCTCAGTATAAGACGGCTTTCTATGTTTCAACTTGCTGAGGAGCTGCTGCAAGTTGTAGAGGATTCTGGGACATTTTTAGGGAACACACTCTGTTAATATTGGAGCACTCCAGTGCCCAAGGGACGTGGGTGGCGCTGTGGGTTAAACCACAGAGCCTAGGACTTGCCGATCAGGAGGTCGGCGGTTTGAATCCCCGTGATGGGGTGAGCTCCTGTTGCTCGGTCCCTGGTCCTGCCAACCTAGCAGTTCGAAAGCACGTCAGAGTGCAAGTAGATAAATAAGTACCGCTCTGGCAGGAAGGTAAACGGCATTTCCGTGCGCTGCTCTGGTTCGCCAGAAGTAGCTTAGTCATGCTGACCACATGACCCGGAAGCTGTACGCTGGCTCCCTCGGCCAATAAAGCGAGATGAGTGCCACAGCCCCAGAGTCGGCCATGACTGGACCTAATGGTCAGGGGTCCCTTTACCTTTACTCCAGTGCCCAGCATAAACATGAGGTTTGTTCACACATTACAAATACATACATACAAGCAGGACCTGAACTCAGTTTCAGCATCTCTCAGGTAGGCTCCATTGCCATTGTAAGAGGTGTTCATAGTGACGTCCGGCATCCACTATTTGTATATGCAAGCACACAGCCTCTGCACACACTGAACGCTGGATGTGAATAAGTGCACAACTGTACAGCATTTCTGCACACAGGCATGCAGGCTGTATACCTGAGGAATGCAATGAGTGAATACCCTTAGAGTTTGCACCCACAAGTATACAGAGCACTGCAAGGGAGGGTAAAAACATCAGAAGAGCCTCTTGGATCAGGCCATAGAAGGCTCTGAGCACAGCAGATCAGAAGTGCCAAGGAAGCCTTCTTCTCAGGGAGCTTGTTCTGCATTATTGATCTTGGGCTCTTCCACATTTCCCTTTGAGCCATCATTTTTTCAGTTTGTCCCCTGATTCCTAGGAACAGGTCCAAGAGATTTCTGCAGGAAAGCCCATGATTTATTTGCTGAATTGGAAAAAAGTCAATCTACAGAAAACTCGATTGATGTTTGTTCTGATTCAGCAGTAAACACTGGGTTTCCTTGGGGGGAAGCAGTGGGACAAAAGAAGAAGAAAATGAAGAAGAAGAAGAAGAAGAGTAGTTTGGAATTGATATCCCGCTTTATCACTACTAACATTCTCCTTTCTCTTCCTCCCCCACAACAAACACTCTGTTAGGTGAGTGGCGCTGAGAGACTTCAGAGAAGTGTGACTGGCCCAAGGTCACCCAGCAGCTGCATGTGGAGGAGCGGAGAAGCGAAACCGGTTCACCAGATTACGAGTCTACTGCTCTTAACCACTACACCACACTGGCTCTCAGACTTGTGCCTAGAGATCATGAGACAAATGTAGTTTGGATGAGCCCCTTGTTATGGAGAAACCCATAGATAAGCTTCCTAGCCCAACCTCACAGGGAACCCTGTCTGAAAACGGCAAGCTCACCATTGCAAAATAATCCCATAGGGTGAACGATGGGCCATCAGAAGAAAAACAGATTTGGTGACATTTGGAACTTGCCGGCAGTGGGCCCGTTAAACCGCGGAACGGAACGGAGAAGCTGCCAGCTTCCCCACCCCCCTCCTCCCCTTCTGTTATATCAGATCACTGATTCCTCTCCTTCTTCCCTCCACCCTCTCTCCAAATTCTAGCTTGGCACATGCAAAAAAGTGACATGCTGTGTCATTATGGTAATTGCTATCATTCTGCTTTGGAAAAGATTTATCCCGCTCTTTTTGAGTGACAAGCTAACTGCCGGAGTCCAAGGAAGGAGATCAGAAGTGACAAATGAGTGTATTATGCTTTGAACTATTTGTTTTTCATAGTCCCGGTAATTACTGAGCATGGACCGGCCTCCTCGCTGAAGCCCATAATAGTGTTCACTGAAATGAGTACACTCTTGTTGTTGTTTTTATCCACAGTAAAATTGATATATACTCTACATTTTATCCATCAGCCCAGCATGCTGTTTTTGTTTTTTTGCTTTTGTTTTTTGCCTGTGACATGACACAGAATAAAACCAGACTACGCCAGGCCTATCACAGACCTCATTATAATGAACAATGAAGTATCTGCCCTACATTGAGTCAGTTTGTTTGGCTTACATAAACCAGGTATCATATACTTTCTGACTGACAGCAGCTCCCCCCCCCCCCCCACTTATTGGGGCCAAACTATGTGCGACGTTTGTTAAGCAGCATGCCCTGGCGTCCAAGATTCTTCTTCAAACATGGCCAGTTCGTGGCCACCTGATCAAGACTCTGGCACGGAAATCTGCTCCTCGCTGCCCCGCAATGCAGTCTTATTCCAGACCCCCTCCTGAGCCTGCAATCTGCCTTCTAAAAAGTGGGTGGGAATAGATTTCTGTCACCTAAGGCCCACTTCATACATTGCATTATTCCACACTTAAAACAGCTATGTAGTTAAAGTGTGGACCCCCCCCCCAAAAAAACCCCACACACTTAAGTGTGCATATAAAAAAGTACAATTGAGGCCACATTCACACCATGTTTAAAGCACTATTATGCCACTTTAAAGTGTCATGGCTCCCCCAAAAGACTTCTGGGAGATGTAGTTCCTTAAGAGTGCTGAGAATTGCTAAGGAGACCGCTATTCCTCTCAGTTCTCAGAGTGGTTTAACCATCAATCTCTCTTCCCAGGGTACTCTGGGAAGTGTACCTCTGGGAGGAAAACAGGGGTTTCCTAAAAACTCTTGCCACCCCTAACTACAGCTCCCAGAATTCTTTATGGGGAGCCATGACTGCAGGCCTGGCCCACCCATGAGATGAGGTTAAGCCTCAGGTGTGGAAGCCCCTGAGGTGGCACCCTGCCAGTGGAGAAGCAGCGCCAACATTGGTGACTATATCTTGCGAGATCTTGCGAGGTGTCTCTTGCCAACACATAGATGTCATGGCAAAAGGGACAGTGTTGTAGCTGACTGTGGCACAGCCAATGGCACAGCCCCATCCAATGGATGTCACCATTAGAACATGAAGGGGGCTTCCATCCTCAATGAAGTTTGCCTAATATGAAATTCAATGGAAGTTTGGATGCGCTTCCTCAAGCAAAACATCTACTGGAATTTGGAAGGAAGGTAAAATAGTGTAAGAATCTCATAAAATAAAATAAGTGCAGACTGGAAGACTAGGATGGTATTCACACACATGTATAGTAGACGCCATTTCCTCCTCTTTTTGAAGTCACATACAGTGGTACCTCGGGTGAAGAACTTCATTCGTTCTGGAGGTCCGTTCTTAACCTGAAACTGTTCTTAACCTGAAGCACCACTTTAGCTAATGGGGCCTCCCGTTGCCGCTGCGCCATCACTGCACGATTTCTGTTCTCATCCTGAAGCAAAGTTCTTAACCCAAGGTACTATTTCTGGGTTAGCGGAGTCTGTAACCTGAAGTGTATGTAAAATGAAGTGTATGTAACCCGAGGTACCACTGTAATGGCTTTGCAAACTTCTGCCCCTCCATGTCTGGCTGTTTCTGAGATATACAAGTTCTGATGCTCAGCTGCTGAAATTCCATTAGTCCTCTTGTGGGGATGGCACCTTATACTCATCCCTAAGTGGTATCCAAGAGCCAATGAGATTAGAGGAGGGGTGGGGACCTTCAGGCTTGGGGTACCATTACCGCCCTCCAATGGCTTCTCCCTCCAGTCCTGTCTCTAATGGCTTTACCTCTCCTTGCCTGGATGGAGGGTGGGGATTGTTGTGCATATGAACACACCCACCACTGGTATGTGGAGCCCCCAAAATCTCCCCAATGCAGAATATGGCCCTATGTATGTTTGAAACAATTGATTTAGTGGAAAGTCCTTGCAGATTGCTTGCTCTAGTGGTGAGGAAGGACAAATGTCTCTTCGTTCAGTATATGGGTTACAAGGAAACAGATGGATTCCAAACCAAGACAGAATGATTCTGGTGCAGGCTATTTGGTATACAGATTCAAATCATGGCTGCAAGCCATGAAATCTCAAGTAGCTTTTTATCTGTTCAACTCTCTCTTTGTTTTAATAAGATAAAACGGAACAGCAGCAACCCACAGTCGGTTGACTGACGCAGTGGAGATATAATCACTTCCAGAATGAAGGCCATTGCAAAAAAAAAAAAAAAAGGGAGAGAGGCATTGCTCGGAAATCCATAAATGACTACACTGCTTAGCTTTAAAATTTGTTTAAATTAATCTTTACAGTCCATATGGGAACAACAGCACTCTATCATGGCATAAATGTTTATCTCCGAAACATCAATCAGTAATTAAGCTGAATTATTTAAACTGCTTTTGTGATTGCTGTTGTTGAGGTTGATGTCGCTGCTCAATTCTCCTTCATCAGAAAATGGAGAGGTCTCACATTCACATGGGCTCACTTGGGGGGGGGTGATGGTTCTAAAGTTGGAAGCTGGCTATTCTGAAGGGTTGTGGAGAAGGAAAGTCAGCATTTGTAGGAGCAATACTATCCCCCCCCCCCAAATAAGGAAAGCCGCCGTTAAACCAGAGCGCCGTATTTTTGGAACAGCCGACAGTTTAAAAGTGCATTGTGAATACTAACATATTCCAGTAAATTAGTTTGCACTCATTATCATAAGCAATTACTTACTGTTTAGATGTTGCCGGTATTAAATTGGCAAGCAATTTGCAAGAATTAAAATGCAGCATTAAAAAGAGAGAGAGAGAGAGAGAGAGAGAGAGGAGAGAGAGGAAACTATCCTGCATTCCAAGGCTATAAAAAGACAAAACTGTTTCAGAGGCAGAGGATAAGCCTTTTATATATGAACTCACAAATCAATATCAAAGGGAGGGATGGTCAACAGACAGATGGGGCAGAGAGGTTGAACAGGGCTTCCCACCCACATTTTAAAAACTGTTAACGGAG